ACAGCTAACCGCTCCAAGCCCGAGGAGAGGCGACCGGCTGGCACTGGGCAGACACTGAGGTCCAGGGGCTGCGGAGCGAGCACATTGAAAGGCTTTCTATGTCGAGTGCCAGGAGCCCACGGGGTCTCCCCTCAAACCCGCACCGGAACCATAGCCCTGTCCACTTGTGCAGGGCCTGGAGATCTAGCTGCTCCTGGCGTGGAGATCCCCTGGACTCGGCTCTCTTCTCTGCCACCGGGGCTGCCGGGTCATCTGTGTCCCCGAGACAGCAAGGTTTAGGCCCAGAGACGGAACCCTGTTTGGACAAGGGGACTTGTTTGCTGCTAATGAGGCTCTACATCTTATCACTCCTGAGTTACATAAACAGCTAACCAGACACACACGTGCTTGCCGGCGTGCCAGGGGGCAGGTTAAGGGGTTGAGTGGCAGTCCTGTTGGCAGCAGCAGGAGTCCGGGGAGGTCAGGGGCCCCCGCAGAGGGATGGATCAGCACACCCGCTGCACGTTTCGGACGTGAACAGGCCTGTGTGGAGACGACGACGCCACACCGGGCCACGTTCCGTTCCAAGGTGTCAGGTCCCCAGGAGCCAAGCTCTGACTCAATGGACGTTCACCATGGTCGCCGACCCCCCTCCGGTGAGGAGACTCCGGAGAAAGCTGAGGCTGTCTGCTCTGTAAAGTGACGGTGCCGTCCGTCCACTTAAGGGTCGATTATTAGTTGAACCTGGCTCAAAGGCAGTTGAGTTTTACACAGGAAAGAACGTGTTCTGAGCAAACGGCCCGTGGAGCTGTCTTTGTTGGCATGGAAAGATGTTTGGTGTGTTGGGGGGAGTTGGTAGAGCTGTAACATGCTTCCATCTTTAAGCATCTGGTGACCATGGGAGCCGGGTGTGCCGTGGTTGGGCACCGGGCTGCGATCCCCATGGCCGGCAGTTGGAAACCAGCAGGGCTGTGCAGCAGAAAGACTGGGTTTTCTACTCCTGCAAACAGCCCCGGGAACCCACGGGGTTGCTGTGCGGCTGCACTGACTGGGTGCCAGTGAGTCTGGGGGTTTTCGGGTGGTTACCATGCACCTCCGGAAAGGTGCCCAGGGTGCACACCAAGCCTAGGCCCACCACGCCGCATTCTTTGTGGGTGTATAAGGAGACGAACCCAGGTCGGTTCTTTCCACGGCTCCGGGCTCTGAGCTTGGCGAGGCAGCGGACAAGGCGGGCGCTCTCACCTGCTCTCACCTGGTCCCAGCTCGCAGAGAAAGCCCAGGTGGCCCTTCCAGCTCGGGGCCGTTCACCCGATGAGGCTGGCCCTGGACTTCGGGCGAGGAAGGGGTCAGAGGGTGCAGAGGGAGACGGTAAAGCCAAAGCCAACAGGTGAGGCCGAGTTGTCAATTTACCAACGAAGGGGTGTCTGAGAGGCTGCCCCCACCCCCACCCCACACAAGTGACAGAGGTGCAAAGCACTGTGAAGCCAAAAGGAAACGTTTGTGTTTGGGGGAGGGGAGGGGGCCTGTGCTAAGTCCTCACCTGTGAGTGAAGCGGAAAGCCAAGGGGAATGGTCTAAGGTCGGGGGAAACACACCAGAAGCAGCTCACAGCAGAGTGCTTTCTCAACCTTCCTCATGCGGCAACGCTGTAATCGTTTCTCATGCTGCAGGGACCCCCCAACCATAACTTTATTTTCGTTGCTACTTCATCACTGTCATTTTGCTCCTGTGATGAATTGTCATGTAAACATCTGATACGCAGGGTGTGTTTTCATTTGTTACAAATTGAACATAATGAAACATAATTAAAACATAGTGACTAATCACAAGACAACATGTAATTATATATTGTGAAATATTTATGTGTTTTCGGACGGTCTTGGCCGACCCCTGTGAAAGGGTCGTCCAACCCCCAAAGGGGTCTCGACCCACAGGTTGAGAACCGCTGTCATAGCTGGGAGCTGTGTGCGGTCTTGGTGTGGCCTGAGGGGCGGGCTGCGAGGGGGCGTGGGGGGGCTGGGAACCATGGCTTTCCTCAGATAAAAACGTCAGGTGAGTTCATTCCGCTGGAGACAGCACGTTGATGCCGCCCCAGGCTGCCTACGATGAGGCCCATGGACCTCGGACCCCACTCTTCCTTGTAGACCTTTTCAAGAGCTTCCATCAATCTTTTGAGGAGCCTGGGGACACTGTGTTAGGTGTTTGGCTGCTAACCCCGAGGTTGGGGGTTCAAGCCCACCAGCATCTGTTGTAATGGTCTACCATCTTGGGAACGCTGCGTGGGGGGGCCACGAGTCAGAGCTGTGGTTTTTAGTGGGGGGGGGGGGGGGAGTGTAGGCAATGCTTGGCGAGCTCTGAAGCCTGCTCACGACCTGGTCCAACGCAAGGAGCCCTGACGAGCAGTGGCTTATACCCGGGCTGCAGCTTGAGTCCACCAGCGGCTGTGGGAGAGGCAGGGCTGCCTGCCCCCGTCGATGTACAGCCTCGGGCAGCAGCCGCGGTTCTGCCGTGGCCGCCGCGGGGAGCGGTGGTCCTGCCTGTGTTTTCACCGGGCACCCTGCCTGGACCGGAAACAGAGACGGGATGATGTTCCAAGACCACACACAGCAGCTCCACGGGACAGCGTCCTCACCACCGGATGCACCTCGGGGTCAGTGGGGGTGGGCTGGGTGGGTAGAGGGTGGAGAGACACAGCCAAAGCGAAGAAGGGGGAAACAAAGCCTCATGCCAAAGAATTGCAAAATTTATTGTGTAAGTATTGCAGCTTTCCATCACGGCGTTGCCTCGAAGGCTTTACTGGTACAACAAGCGGTTCCATCAGACCTGCGATCACATCCAGTTACAGAGTCTAGGGGAGCCACCATGCGGGGGCTGCACCCAGGGCGGTGCGGGGAAGGGGGGGTGCGCTTACATAACTGCAACAGAAATGGGGAGACGGGGCCTAACAAGAAGGTTCTGACACCAACCCGCAGATCCATGACACCGTACTTGGCACGTGGACGGACAGACATGGCGGCTCTGCAGAGCCGCAGCGCACGTGGGGCGCAGCTTCCGGTAAATACCTCCTTTTGCATCGCCAGGAGGCTGGGTGGTTCTGGGAAGCTTTGAGGGAACAGACAGACGCTCTGAAAGGTGCCAGTCACAGGGGCAGCAGATTGGGACCAGTGGGTGTACCGCCCGACCCCGAAGAAGTACTGGGTCTCTGGGGACAGGAATGGCTCTAGTGGCCAGGGCTGCTTGGGAGACTCAGGCTGGGCGGGGCAAAGGCTTTCCTTCCATGGACGAGCAGAGAAACCCAGCGCAGCCCCTTCCCCATGACCAGGCCCCTTAGGCCCACCTCGTCCCCACCCACACATCAGCCACCTAACTTCCTGCTGGAAAAGGGTCCTCCAAAGGGGGCCAAGATGCTTTCCAACCAGGAGCTGGAGAATAGGGTGCAGTCTGGCTGTCCTTTTGGTATAAACACCCTTTCAGTTTGCATGGGGCAAACTCGGTGTGCCCCGCCCCCCATGAATGTCTGCCACTGTAACCCCTTGGACACCAGGCCCAGGGACGCTTGCAACATCACACCCTGGGCTTCTAACACTGGGTTGCAATTCGGGGTGCATGGCCTGCCCTCAGGCCGGCTGAGGTCAGTAACACATCCCTCTACTTCCTTCTTCTAGCTCATTGCAAAGCGCAAAATCAGACGTTACAACGAGGCACCAAGAGCCAAGTTTGGCTCAAGAGGACACGGGATGTGCCTCCCAAACACACTAGGCCTACGTCCAGCCTTGTGACCCAGAAGCGAGTGACACACCAACTGAGTGAGGCTGCAGTGGTGGGCGGGAGGGTGGGGACAGCTCCGTGGACGAGGCACACCAGAATGAGCACAAATGGGAACTGGCGGGGAGCTGTAATAGACGCAGTAGCCCCTTTGTTCGCGATGTCCAGGGACACCCGGCCCCGCCGCAGGGAAGAGGGGCCGCCCCTTCCTAGTAAGGCACTAGAGACGCTACACATAAAGGAAACGTGTCACAACTCACTGCACACACACGACCCCCGTCCCTCTGTCTGCCTCTGTGTGTCCTTCTCAGAGGGAGAAGCAAAACTTCAGGCTGAAGATGACCCCTGCGAGCCAGGCTCTGCCGGCACCAAGGTACAGGGACTGCCTGCCGGCAGGTCATCACAACCTCCGCCACTCGGACACTACCTATTGGCCTCCATCTTAAGACAGCGCTGCGTCTTTCTAGCTCGCGTGTGTACGTGTGTTTGTAGTTATATATAAATAGGGTTCAGTCAAAGCTGATCTCAAGGTGTTTGCTTTTCAAGTAATAAAAAAAGTCGCTTTAAAAACAATAGTTATTGCCGCTCAGATCTGTCTCTTATGCTAGTCTACTGGCCAACGTCCGGCCCACAGTAAAGACACCCACAGAGTGGGAGACAGGGTGGCGGGAGTGAGGGCCCTGCCGAAGAATCCCGGCACGTCTCGGCATTCACCCAGCACTCAGTGACCCGTCCTGCCCCACCCACCCCCTCCCTTGATGGGTCCCAAGACGCCCCCCCAGCCCACCATGACTGCCTGCACCTGGGAACTCAACAACAACGTCGTCAACAAAGACACAGATCCGTACACACGTGAGTCCAGAAGGGGGGAGGGTGTGGAGGAGAAGTTGAGAGAATTCTGCTCCGAAAGAAAGCATCGGGCATGAGCTTGCTGGGCTGATGTGGAGCCATTCGCAGGTCCTAGCAGAACGCTGGCCACGCCACCTTGTGTCTGCAGACGGGCCTCAACAGACCGGGCAAGTGGAGAGAAAGGGAGGAAGGGGCTCAAGTTGGGCTTTCCTACATGCAGACCTCGGTCCCTAAACGCCCGGCCGGAGAGTCTACCTCACCCCGAAGGCACGCTTGCCCCAGAAGCACAGGAACCTCTGGGCACACCCCGCCCCCCCCCACGCAGCAGCCCTGGAACAGGCTTCAGAGGGTCACCGTGGGAGCCCCTCCCCATGGGGGCCTTCAAAGAAACACAAGAGGAGGGGAAACTAAGAGACCTTCAGCCGCAGTTTATGCTCATCTTGGGAAAGACACAGCCCAGCTCGTGTGTCTCTGGGGTAACTTTTGGGTTGCACTCAAGGTCCAAAAACCCTTCCGAGGCTTGTGTGGATCGCCGGGGCCCGGAGCAAAGAACTGTGCCTCTTTCCGTAGGGAATGTTTAACGCAGGAACAGTCTACCTCTAAACGGATACATGCTCATCCTGGGCAGAGGGGCGCCCAGGGGCACTGGGGGCGGGCTCACCCCTGACCTGCCCGCCGTGGCCACTTCTGAAATCCCCACGCTTCTCCCCTCTGACGGTTTAACAGACACGATAGAAATCTCCACCCAACAAGCACTGACGTATTTATATTAAAAAATAGTGCAAAATCTCAACATTTATATAAATAACTCTAAACCCCTGCTTTTTTTTTTAACAAGGTAATACACACTTTCTGAATTGGCACTCAAAAAAGGCCAGCCCCGTCCCCACCCCCCAGCTAAATTCAGAAAGCAACTTCTGTGTGTATGTGTGTGTGTGTGTCTCATAGGCCTCTTCTGATACAAAAATACTCCTGCCCGCACACATACAGTTGCTCTTATCTTATATATATATATATATTTTATATATGATATTGCAGATCTTTAAACAAAGGTTGTGCAAATATGTCTTCAAAGTTAAGTGAAATAATCATAAACAAAAAGAAAATCAGCATTCACGCACGCAGCAAAAACAGACTAGTGTGGGGACTCTTATTCCTTTTTCTTTTTTGCCTTCAAGACCCAGCTCAACAAAGAAACGTGTGTGTGTGTGTGTGTGTGTGTGGTTTTGTTTTGCAAGCTGTCTACCTTGTGCATTCAGACCCAACAGAACATGTAAGTATTTATACACAGAGCGGCGGGGAGGGCGGGCACGTGCGCTCCGGGGTCAGCCGCCCCCTCTCGCTCTCTCCTTGCTAAGAAGTGCCGAGTGGTACCTCACCACCTCCGGCCGCCCCAGCCCAGCCGCGGGGTCCCTAGAGAGGGTGGCTCTTGGTCTTCTCCTTGCTCCAGGTGGCTGTGGTCTCCAGATGTGCCGTGTGTGCGGGGTGGAAGCGGGTGCCGTCCAGCAGAGAGGGGGGCCCACTGCCTTGCTGGTGCTGGAAGGAGGCAGAGCCAGGGTAGTGGCCGATGACCTCGCTGTAGGTGGGCGGGGGCCCCTCCATGCGCCCGCCGCTGCCGTAGCAGGTGGCGCTGATGCCCGAGTTACTGCTGGGGGGGCAGGGGCCGCCCAGCAGGCTGCTGTCCATCAGCTCGCTGTCGAAGATGGTTCTGTTCGGGGGCGCGCGGACCGACTCTCGGTTCAGCTCGAGCTGCTGCTCAGGGTCTCGCAGCTGCAGGGTGCAAGGGCCCTGGTAGGGCGGGGGCTCCTCGCCGTCTGACAGCGAGATGGTGGGTGGCAGGTCAATCTCATGCTGCAGGTATGGGTAGGTGGGCTGGAAGCGGTGGAAGCGGTCCCGTTGAGTGAAGGGGGGCACGGTCAGGCGTTCGGCCGGCCGGGGTGGGGCGTAGATCTGCGACTGGGGCAGAGTGGAGGGAGTGAGGCGCTGCCCCTACTGGGAGGATCGCTTACTGGGCGTCCCAGGTGCAGGGCCCGGGGCAAGGACTGGGTTCTTTTTCGGAAGGGGAGAGTGGGGTGCTGCCTCAACTGGGGTCCCTAGTCCAAGGCTCTGCTCTGGCCCCAGGAGCACAGGAGGAAGGAAGGCTGGCAGGGCAGGGGAGAGAGCATGAGGGGACTGGGGTCCCTGGATGCGGAGCGGAGGCACGGATTCAGCTTCGCCCCCACTGTAGGGGAAGGCAGAGGGCAGGACGTGGGCAGAGCTGCAGGGGAGCTGCACAGGGTCTGGGGCGGGGTCTCCCCGGGTGGCCCCAGAGCACGGACAGCCCCACAGGACCCCACGTCTCCCTCGCAGTGGGGCGAGCTCAGTGCTGGCCTGCATACAGTCCCAGCAGCCCTTCAGATCAGGGTGGCGGTGGGAGCCCTAGCAGCAGGGACAGGGGCAGGGGGCGTGTGGGTCTCACCTCCGGGATTCCGCTGCCGGACACGGTGCTCTCCGAGGGCCAGAGGCAGCCTTCCTGTGTGTGTGTGGGC